AATTGCCCCGTTTCTGCAATTTATATTCAATCATTAACAACAGGTCAAATCCCACGTGACTGGAAATGTGCCAATGTGACCCCAGTGCTTAAAAAAGGCAGTACGAAAGAAGCCTGCAACTACATATACAGGCCAGTACCTCTTACTTCTCTGCCCTGTAAGATCTTGGAGCATATTATCTTCCATCATATTATGGGTCACTTGGACGTGCATCATGTACTTGTCAACTACCAGCATGGATTTCATCGGGGCCACTCATGTGAAAGCCAGCCAATTACAATAGTTGAACACCTAGTCAGAAACTAAGACCATGGCAAACAGACTGATTTATTATTGCTGGACTTCTCCAAGGCATTTGATACGGTCCCACACAAACGTCTCCTCAAGAAATTAGATCACTATGGAATCCATGGACAACTGATCAAATGGATAGAATCCTGGCATTGCGGAAGAACTCAGACAGTTGTTGTTAATGGTTCACAGTCTTCTCCGGTGACTGTAACTTCAGGAGTTCCTCAGGGCACCGTCCTAGGCCCACTGATCTCCTTACTGTATATTAATGACACTGGTCTCCAAAATAATAACCTCAGAATTGGCTCTGTTTGCAGACGACAGCGTCCTATATGGGGTTGTTAACAACATTAGCAGTGCCGAGGTGCTTCAAAGTGACCTAAACAAATTAGTAGTCTGGTCAGAGAAATGGCAGATGACTTTCAATGCGAGCAAGTGTTTTCTGCTTAGAGTCACTAGCTCCAGAGATAATGTGGTTGACTACACCTATACCATGATGGGAGAGCCCATAACATCAGTCACACAGCACAAGTATCTGGGTGTAGAATTAGATAGCAAATTAACATGGAATGAACATATTTCTGCTATTACAGGGAAAGTGAAGGCTTCTTGAGAAAAAATCTATATAACTGCCCCGAACAGATCAAGACGCAGGCGTATTATTCTTTAGTTTGACCCCACTTGGAGTATGCATTCTCGTTGTGGGACCCTCATACACAAAAGAACATTCAATGAATTGAGAAAGTCCTGCACAGTGCGGCTCGTTTTGATAAGAAGTACAATCAGGGCACACCAGGTACCATCACAAGTTTACTAGAGGAGCTAAAATGGCCATCATTGGAACAGAGAAGAAAACAAACAAGATTAACAAACTTGTATAAGTTCGTAAATGGCAACCTGGCAGTAGAGATTCCATATTACTGTAAAATTCCGAAAATAAGCCCCAGGGCGTATATTTTTCAAAGGCCCTTTTTGAGGGGCTTATTTTTAGTGAGGCTTATATTTGGAGGGGCTTATCTACGCAGGGAAATTTGCATTTCAAAATCGATTGGGCTAGCCTGAAAGTTGGAAGTAAATTTACCATTTTTGCTTTGTTTTACTTTGTGCCGGAGGGCAATTTTCCAAGTACAAGCCCCTGGGGGGCTTATATTTGGAGGGGCGATTTAACGGAGGGGTTTTTGCGCAACCGGTTTGGGGGGCTTATATTTTGAGGGGCTTATATGGGAGGGGCTTCTTTTTGGAATTGTACGGTACTTCAGTCAGACGGAACTCCAAACAAGAAATTACCACCCACTTAAATTTATAAATGCTGGTTGCCGGACTAATATATATGTTGTAGTTAATTTTCTATCTCAGGTAATTTTTATTTTTCTTTTGTTTAAACTTCATTAGCATACATTAACATACCCAAAAACAAAAGAAAAAGAAAAATTACCTTAGATAAAAAAATTAACTACAACATATATATAAATATAGCTTTCTCCCAGATCCGTTAATGAATGGAACGAACTCCCCAAAGCAATTATTGAAGCAGCCAACACAGAGGCCTTCAAGCTTGCCTCGACGGCCCAGGCCAGGCCCCATTGAGCATTTGAACACTTTTTATTTTTATATCACCACAGGCGGCCCAGACGTAGTATGTGTCACTGAATGAATATATTAATATTCACATGGACAAATTAATGCGATGAGTCGTCGAAACTCCCATGGACTAAAATAGTCTAAAAGTCAAAATATAACAAAACAAAGCTAAGATACCTTCAACTGAACGTATCCTTGTCTTTCCTGGCCGGTTTAAGTGGCATTTTGTTGAGTTTTGCAATTGTAGGTACTATCCACTAAAGAAGAATTAAAGGCTGGCTACAAAACAAACAGGCCATCTCCATGCGCCTTCACACGAAGCACTATAAATTCGAGAATAATCGACGAATCCGCTCCAAATGACCATCGGCTAATCTGCAGGTAACGTGTGCTCCTGCTTCTGGCTCGCTTGCTCCACAAAACCCATCACAACTGCACAATCATCGCATTAATTTGTCCATGTGAATATTAATATATTCATTCAGTGACACATACTACGTCTGGGCCGCCTGTGATATCACCAGCACAAATTCACTGCACTGTTTTTGTAAGCGCACATAGCACGAGCACTGCACACCACATATCTGCTGAAGATGGGCTGTACTGCCCTTTGCAGATCAGACATTTA